GGGGTAATCTAGTTCGACTAATGAAAATAATGGATTTCTTTTTTTGGGGGGAGGATAAAATTTCACTTAGCTGTGGTTCAAAGTCAGTGTTCTCTATCAAATCAATTTATGATCACCTGTAAAATGATTACAGATTTTATAATCATCTGTAAAAAATCATTTTTAACTAAGGGGCCACACAAAAACAGGTAGTGGGCTGGATTCAGCTTGCAGGCCAACGTTTGGGACCCTAGCTTAAAGGATCAAGTCTCAGCCCCTTAACTTGCAAACATGGCAGCAAGGTCATTCCCAGCTCCTCTGCAGACAGGTACCCCAACTGCTTTTTGCTGCTTTTTTTTTTTTGTGGTACGCGGGTCTCTCACTGTTGTGGCCTCCCCCGTTGCGGAGCACAGGCTCCAGACACGCAGGCTCAGCGGCCATGGCTCACGGGCCCAGCCGCTCCGCAGCATGTGGGATCCTCCCGGACAGGGGCACGAGCCCGTGTCCCCTGCATCGGCAGGCGGACTCTCAACCACTGTGCCACCAGGGAAGCCCGCTTTTTGCTTCTTAAATAGGCTTCACTCTCTTGCCCCTGAGTCTCTTCTTCCACCTCGTTTCCAACATGGGAATTCCTGTCTCTGCTAGGCTATGCTCTTTTTCAGGAATACTTATCTGGACACCTTCCCTAATCCCCTTTCTCCCGTTGATCACAGTGTGGACCTGTAGCACAATACTGAGCACATAATATCAGAGTTAGGTGTTTACTGAGACTCTCTTAAGGGAAGGGGCTATGGCATGCCTATTATACTCAATGCACATGCCCCCAAATAGGGAGGGGCTCTAGTGACCCTGTCCCAGGTCTTCTAACTATGGGACCGTGTTTCTTGCACCACCTCCACTGTGGGCCACCCATCAGCCTTGAAGGCACCATGTTCTTACTCCCTACCACACTCCTGGCCTCAGCTGATTGATCTGGGGTGGGCACTGGATCCAAGCCAGGCCTCTCAATTTTTCCCGGAGAACTTCCAAGCTGTGACTGAGAAATGGCAGCAGGGGTAGGAAGTAAAACTCTGGGGGGCTGGTCACCATGATTTCCATCTTGAGGGGAGATGCTGCCATGAGAGAGGAGTAGGGGGAGGTGCAGAGAGAAGCAGGCAGGACTCCTGGGCAGAGAGAGCCCTGGTGGCATTCTAGTCTGGCCTTGGCACTTTCTCCCAAGTCTCCACTGTGTTCCTGTCCGGCTAATCATGTGCCTGTCAGTGCTTTCTTGGAAACCATAAGACAATAGACAGTCCTTTATACCTGAGCTAATTTGAGTTGTATTGTCAGTGGCAACCCAAAGACTCCTACATATCCTTATCTTGGCATTCTCTCCACTGTGCCACTGGTATTCAAACTTTCTTAAAGCACAAGAAGCCCCTGTTCAAACAAAATCTTACGTGGAAGCCCAAGCTGTAAAACAGATGATAGCATAGAGTAGACTGCACAATATGGACTGCCTGGTGCTAAATCCCCGCTCTGATGACTCCTAGCTTTGCAATCAAGGCTGAGACAATTATCCTCTCAGCCTCAGTTTCCCTCTTTGCAAAACCAGAGAGTAGAGGTATCCAACTCTTAGGGTTACTATAGGGCTTAAATAAGTTAATAGATAAAAATCATTTAACTCACTGCCAGGGATATAACAATCACTCAATAAGCATTAGCTTAAAAGTGGGGTATGGAGAAACCCAGAGCAACTGCCACCCTCAGCTACCTTTCTTACCTCTTCCCTCACCGTAATGTCTTTGGCACATGTGTAATGTTTAAAATTATCTGAAATGATTGGTTTAATATATCTTCCTGCCTAGACTAGAAAGTCACACAAAGACAAGAAGCATATTTATCTTGGTTATTCATTGTCTTTCCCCAGTTCTGCCTAGCACAGTAAGTGGCCCATAGAAGATATCCAATAACTACTGCTGACTAATTGATAATAAATATATGTTATCTCATTAAAAAATAGGCACCACACATGTTACCAAATCTGGTGCTTTTTGCAGCAGAATCAGAAGTCATAAAAAGAGAAAAAAAGGCTTGACCTATAGGACAGCCCACTCAGAACTAAAGTTAATTCTTTTGGTTTGGGCAGCTATATTACTTAAAGTTTCCCAGGTTTTCACCATTTTAAAACTAATTAATGTAATGAAAACACAACATGACAGAACTTATAAGATGCATTTAAAGCAATAATAAGAGGACAATTCATAGCCTAAAACACTTATATCAATAAAAATAAAAACCCAAATGAATTCAATTCCCAATTCAAAAAGATAGGAAAAACTCCAACAGAGTAAAACAAAATAAGTTACAAAGAAAGAAAGAATAAAGATAAAATCAGAAATTAATGAAATAGAGAATAGGAAGGCAATTTATCCATAGAATTCAAATCCTGTTTCTTAGAAAAATTAACAAAATAGACAAACCACTAACTAACTCAGTCAAGAAAAAAAGTGAGAAAATCCAAATAAAAAACTAAGAATTACAATGGGAAAATAACTATTAAAAAAGTAGAAATTTGAAAAATCCATGAGACTACTTGGCAAATCAATCTGAAAATGTGAATGAAATAGATAATTACCTAGAAAAACACAGTTTACCAAAATGACCCTGTTAGAGATAGAAAGCTTCAACAGACCAATTTGTTTGTAGAAGATGTAGAGAAAATTGTCAAGGAATTTTCCCCCCTAAAAGTACCATGCCTAAAGAGTTTTACACTGGTACAAACTTTCAAAGACTAGATAATTTTAATGTTGTATAAAATCCTTCAGTGCATAGAAAATAAAGGTAAACTTCCAAATTATTTTTATGAAGCAAAATAACATTGATACTTAAACAAATATCACTTACAAATATTGGTGCAAAATATTTGCAAAAAATAAATATTAGCAAACAGAATCAACATCACACTGAGAATAATTCATTATGACTAAGGGGATTTATTCCAAGAATGCAAGTTTGGTTCAATATTATAATAAAATGTACCATATTAAGTGATCTAAGAAGAATCATCTGATTATCTCCATTGATGCTGACAAAGCCTTTGATCCAGCAATTGTTTCTAATTTTAAAAAACCCAACAATTATTTCTAATTAAAAAAAAACTCATGAAAATAGAAATTCATGGATACTCCCTTAGCATGATAAATATATATAAATCTTTGTCCAAAGCCAGCATATATTAAATGAGGAATAACTAGAGGCATTTCCATTAAGATCAGGAACAAGGCAAGGATGCCTATTATTCCACATTATTTATTATTGTTCTGGAGGTATGAACCAATTCAATTAGACAAATCAATCAGAGGCATAAAACTTGGAAAACAGAAAGTAAAACTGTTTGCAGATGATGTAATAGTACACCTGGAAAACTTGAGAGAATCGGTGCTCAAATTAACTCAAGCAAGAAAAGAATTAAGCAAACTAGCAGAATATAAAATTAACACAGAGAAACTTATAGTCTTTGTACACACAAAAATAACCAGTCAAAAGGTGTAACAGTGGATAAAACTCCACTTATAGTAGCATTAAAGAAGATAAAATGCTTAGAAATCAACTTAGTAAGAAATGTACAAAACCTATATGAAGAGCACTTTAAAATGTGCCTGAATGTTACAAAAGTAGACATGAACACATATAAAGACATCCGTTGTTCTTTGGTAGAATGACTCAACATCATAATGATGTCAATCCTCCCAATGTCCATTTACAAATAAAACAATTCTCCAAAAAACACCAACAAACTTTTTATGGAGCTAGATAAGTTGATACCAAAATTCATGTGGAAAGATAAAGATGCCAGAATATCTAGAAAACCTGATATACAAAAACCACGAGGGAGGCTTCCCTGGTGGCACAGTGGTTAAGAATCCGCCTGCCCACGCAGGGGACACGGGTTTGAGCCCTGGTCCGGGAAGATCCCACATGCCACAGAGCAACTAAGCCCGTGTACCACAACTACTGAGCCTGCACGCCTAGAGCCCGTGCTCCACAACAAGAGAAGCCACTGCACTGAGAAACCCGCGCACCGCAACAAAGAGTAGCTCCCACTCCCCGCAACTAGAGAAAGCTCGCGTACAGCAATGAAGACCCAAAGCAGACAAAAAAAAAAAAAAACACGAGGGGAGTCTAATCCTACCAGGTACTACATCATGCTATGAAATCTCTATAATTAAGGCAATGAGGTACTGGGATTCAAATAAACAAAGAGAAAAGTGGAATAGAAAGAAATCCAGAAAGAGACTCAAGTACATGTGGAAATGTAGTATGTGACGAAAGTGTTAATTCACTGGAGCATAGATGGACTCTCTAATAAAATGGTGCTGGACAACTGGGCAGCCATTTGGGAAGAAGATAACATTAGATCCATACCTCATGCCATCCACATAAACTCCAAATTAAAAAAAAATAAACATAAGTAGTAGAAGAACACACAAAGAGTTCCTCTATAAACTGGGTGTACAGAAAGAGTAAAATAAAATAAGATCGAGGGCTTCCCTGGTGGCGCAGTGCTTGAGAGTCCGCCTGCCGATGCAGAGGACACAGGTTCGCGCCCTGGTCCGGGAAGATCCCACATGCCGTGGAGCGGCTGGGCCCATGAGCCATGGCCGCTGAGCCTGCGCGTCCGGAGCCTGTGCTCCGCAACGGGAGAGGCCACAACAGTGAGAGGCCCGCGTACCGCAAAAAATAAAAAATAATAAAAAAAAATAATAAAGATTGATAAATTATGCTATGTACAAATTTAAAATTATTTTCATAGTAAAGAATAATTGATAATTTATTTAAAAATCTATGTGCATAAGAGGATTACTGTACCTTTTACCCCAAAAAGTGTAAGCTGAGATCAACTGCAAAAGTGATGTCATCTTACATAAATAAGCCACTTGTAAAGTTTCATTTAAAAAGAGCATGGTGGAGGGAGAGAAAGCTACCTGTGGGGAAGGGTGGGAGGGTTTTTTTCCACATTAGTTGGGCTGCAGCTTTACCTTCTTCAGTTTCTTGTGGGCCCCTCTCTGGTTCCCCTGTGCCAGGTCAGCCCCGCCCAGGAGCCGGTATGTCTCTGCCACCTCGGGACTGAGATCGCCATACACTGCCACTTTGGCCTCCAGGGACTCTCTCAGGATGGAGGTAGCTCTCTGTGAAAGGAACAAAAAGCTGTCTGGTTAAATAAAAAGTTCAAAGCTGGATAAAGATCAGTGCCTCCTAAGAAAATGATGTAACTGGTAATGTATTTTCACTTTTTAGGGGAATGAGTTTGGGTAGAGTGTCTCATGAGCTGAGCCTACTTTCCTCCTTAAATAGGAATCAGGAAATAATATACATGGGGTGAGGGGGTGTTGCGGGGGACAGGAATGGTTTGAACTCTGAAGAGAGAATGCATAAAGGACCCCTGGAGAAAAAGCCATCTCAGATGTTACAGGAACCCATTTTAGTTGAGTAGTAAGAAGAAAAGCTAACATGCATTGCATCGTGTCCTTTATGTGGCAAGAACCATGCTAAACTGTTTATGTGTGTGAGCTCATTTAACTTGCACCATCTCCTTTAGATAAGAACAATTTTAATCCTTGTTTGCCAGAGGAGGAAATTGAGGCATAGAGCAGTCAAGAAACTTGCTCAGAGTCAGACAGCCCATCAGTGGCAGGCAGATCTAGGATCTGGAACCTGCCAGTTTTAATCCCTCTTAGTTGCAGGCTCTTCTCCCTCTGTACACAGTGATGTTCTTATGTAAGTGAAAACTACAGAGTTTCCTGGCATTTACAGAACATCCAGAACATATTCCAGGGTTTTCCATTTCTCACAAGAAATAGTTCAGGAAACCAAAAGCAAACATTCCAACATGGTGAAAAGTTAAATACATTTGACATCTTGTTTGGTTTATCTGATTTATTTATACCAACATGGAATACAAAATATGAGCTGGTATTAATCTCTTCAGTCATACACCAAGACATACAGAGGGAAAGCCCTGTATGTCGGTCTCCCATGTTTCTCCTGAAATTCTTCTACGATCTTCTACATAAAAGCATGATTACAGGTAGAGATCACAAACGCCCAATATAAGAGCCGAATAGGGACTTTGCTGTTGGTCCAGTGGTTGGGACGTCGCCTTCCAGTGTGTGTGGGGGTGCGGGTTCAATCTCTGGTCGGGGAGCTGGGATCCCACATGCCTCATGGCCAAAAGCCAAGGCACGGAACAGGGTCAATACTGTAACAAATTCATTGAGGACTTTGGGGGTGGTCCACATCAAGGAAATCTTTAAAAAAATATATGGGAGAAATAAGTGGACCTTAAAAGAAAAATAGAGCCGAATAAAGCAGGAACCAGTGAAGGAGCCTTGCCCACCGCATAGCCCTGAAGGCATCCTGCTAGCGCTCCCCAGATAGAGGAGTTCGCAAGGCCTTTACTCAGTTTATTGGCAAGAATATGAATTAGGTGCTGGGGGTGGGATCAGGGAACCACGGTAAAAGGCACTGTTAAGGCAGAAACAATTTCTCAGATGGAAAGATAAATCACTGCTGGGGAAGAGAAACTGTAAATTGTGAAGTGTGTGACCCACCTTGGTATGGGTCTTGCCTGATGCTAAAGCCTGTCGTGTCCCTTCCCAGTGTCTGTGATGCAACTGTTGGGTTTGGCAATTCTTCCATGAAAATTGGTTGTCAGGCTTGGAGGAGCCTATGATGGAAAGAAGAGCCAGACACCTTTTCCTAAATGAAGCTCTCAATGCCATTTACAGCCTGATTGGGGAAACTAGAGATAGATGTGCATGAACTTGAATGGCAAGTCAAGATGGCAATGGAAGAGATGCCACATGGATATGGGTTTAAAGGAAAGAGACAGTGATAGTCTCTGAGAGTTAGAAAAGCTTAATGGAGAGAAGTGAAGAATAAATAGGATTTAGGTGGACCAAGAAGAGGGCATGGGAACCTGGGAGCACAGTGGGAGCTGGGGGAAGCACACGGCACATTCAAGGCCAGTGAGGGGACTAATTTGACTATAGCAGAGAAAGTAGGAAGAGGAGCAGAGGGAGATGAGGCAGGAGTCACGGGCTGGGCTGGTGGTGGAGACCTTCATGCCAGGCTGAGGAGTTTAGATTTTCTTATGGGGAATAAGAAGTCAGAGAAGATTCCTGAGCAGCAGAGCAGCACAACTAGAAGAGTATCTTTTAACCTGTGGCAAAGTAAACTTCACTTACATTTTACCTTAAAAGGCATTTTCCTTCCCAAGGATCACCTTCCTGTTGGCAAAGGGTCCTAGCCCACATGTAGGCTGTGACACATCTGAGGTGGTCTGAGCACATCCTTGTGCTCGTGCCTGGGACTGTCCTTGGGCCCGGCCCCATTGGCCAGCTCCTGCTGGAACCCACAGTGAGGTCTGTAACCAAGAGTGAGCATAACACAAGGTGACACATTTGGTTGGACAGATTGTGTCACACACAAGGGTGCCTGGCAGGAGAATGAGGAGGGCTGAAGTCCGGCCCGTGTTCCGCTCTCTAAGCAATGTGCCCTGGCATGGACTGCACCCACCTGAGGAAGAGGCAGCTTTGTCTATTCTTACAAGGGCACCAGAAGGGCTGGCAGGGGCTGTAGAATGAAAAGAGCCAGTTTGCTAAAATCTCCAGGGGAGGCCTCAGGAAGTGAGGTACATCTTTAGATCAATGCCACTGATTTGGGTGACTTGGGCAAGGGCAGTGAGGTGTGGCAGCTGTGATGACAGACACCAGGGCAGGAAGCCAGACAGGAACGGGGAAAAGGGTGGATGCCCTGTGGCAGCCAGAGCAGTCAGACAGCCCATAGCCAAGCATCCATCCACCCATTGGCTCAACGCTCCCTCACCATGAATAAGAGTCCCTGCTGTCATGGAATTTGGTCTAGTCAGGGAGAGACAGTAACTGTCCACAATATATTATTGTAATACATTACTCTGTTATATAATTATATCAGACAGGATTCTATGATGAAGAATAGTGGGGAGAATCTAATGAAGACTGAGGGAGGGGAATCGGGCAAGCTGGTGAGTCCTGAAGGATGGATCTGCATTAGCCAGGAGATCAATGAGGAAGAACCTTCCAAGAGCAGGAGACAAATGCTGATGCTGCCCAGAAGCGGGGATTAGAAAAGGCCACTGTGGCTGGAACACAGATCAGGGGAGGGGGCAAAAATGAGACTGGAAATGTCAGCAGAATCCATAACGTGCAAGGTATTGTGGGCAATGTGGGATTCTGGCTTATCTTAAGGGCTCTGAGGAGCCAGTGTAGTATTTTACAAATGGGAGTCCACTGATCAGATGTGCTTTTTGCAAAGATCAACATGGTTTCCTTATTCAGAATGGATTAGAAAAGGGCAAGAGTGGAAGCAGCAGCTGCGGAGCCAGAGTTTGTTAGAGAGGTCCAGTTGGGAGATGATGACTGACAGAGGTGGAGATGGCAACCAATGGATGGATTCAAGGGGCATTTTGAAGGTAAAAATGACTGATGAGCTGGAAGGGGTGAGGCATGATGGGGGCAGAATTCCCCTCAGATCTCTGCCCTGAGCACTCCACATAGAACTTCTAGAGATGTTCTGGAATCTGAGGCCACTGGAAGGCCCCTCTCTACTTGGTTGGGTGATCCAGAAAAATATGGAAACTCCATTTGTTATGGTTACTGTAGCCCGACTTTGGCCCGACGAACATTCGTGCATCTAGATTAAAAACCTATGTTCCTTAAGCTCACATCAACTGAGAGAAGGGTGAAGGATTAAGGGTTAGGAGAGAGCTGTCGGGGAGAAGGTCTACATAAAAGCAGAGGAAATAAAAAGGTTTTCATCTCAAGGACTTGCCTTGACAGGTTAGAGGTTTTTTGTTTTTTAAGAAGTATTTATTTATTTGGCTGCGTCGGGTCTTAGTTGTGGCATGCGGCATCTTTCATTGCGGCGCGTGGGCTTCTCTCTAGTTGTAGCATGCAGGTTTTCTCTCTCTAGTTGTGACACGGGCTCCAGGGTGCGTGGGCTCTGTAGTTTGCGGCATGTGGGCTCTCTTGTTGAGCCGCGCAAACTCAGTAGTTGTGGTGTGCAGGCTTTGTTGCCCCATGGCATGTGGGATCTTAGTTCCCTGACCAGGAATCGAACCCATGTCCCATGCATTGGAAGGCGGATTCTTTACCACTGGACCACCAGGGAGGTCCCATTGACAGGTTAGAGTTGAAAAAAATATCTGTATAAATGAAGCATGTGGGTATCTGGTAGTTGTTAGGCTTTTTATGGAATAAGTTCCCAAGGGTTTAAGTACCAATGAATATAAATTCTGGGTCTGGTTCCATTTTTACAAGCCATGGAAAACATGCCTGTATGGTTCAACGGACAGTGAGCCATAACTTCTGCACTGTGTAGTTCTTATTAGATATGCAACTTTCATCCATTAGCTAAGATAGTAAGAGAGGAATTAGACACACTAACTTCCACCCTCTATGCCAGCCAGAACCACAGGCTGCGGTAAGCAGAGTCTCTCCAGTGGGTTCTCAAGGTTTCTAGTCCTTTAAGATACTCTGCAGGTGGACATGGCATCTACATTCTCATGAACTTTTTTGTTTCCCGAGAGCGAATATCTGGGAGCTGCCCAAGAGTGGCTGCCTGGCTTTATTTATCCCTCTCCCCGTGGAGCCTGGCACATGCCTTGCACATGGTAGATGCTTAATGCTTTCAGAGTGCAGGAGTAGCCCTTTGGATATCAACTGGGTCGCCAAGGTAACTAGTCAGCTGTGGTCCAAACTCACTTACCTCTTTTTGTCCAGTGACTTGTAGAAAATGGCAATAATCATCTTGAATTGAAAGAAATTTGGCTTTTCCTATCCCTTCAGCATCCTTAAGATTAGCCATGCTATCTTGAAAATACTGCTCAGCCACATCTGAAGAAAAGCATCACAACAACAATTTTGAAAACAGCTTGCAGATTTGAAATGGAAACAGAATAACTATGTGTTTAGTCATGGTGAATGATATGAAAATAATAAGTAATTGGACAAGATAACCCAGTTAAGGAAACTGTCTTTTGTCAATTAATCTGACTGTTTTATTAGACAGGGTCTAGTTCTCAGAAAGATACTGCAATTTATTTTCGTTGGTTTTCATACATCTTCCCTTTCCCAGTGATACAGTAAGCAAAGTTAATGCAAACAGGGAAACTATCCCCTAGACCTGACACATGTTAAATTTTCAGATTGATTAACCATTAATTCTTTGTAAAACTCTGGTTGCTCCTCACTGGGGTTAGGACTCCAAGGATCCACTGACTTCAGTGGACTCTGTAATCTTGGAATGTAGCGTGATAACCCTAAAATTCTGGAAAATATGGCTGACACGCTGCTGAAGCAAAAACCTCAACCATTCCAAACACTTAAGCATACTGGTTATAATATAACAAAAATATTTGAAATATTTGCAAATCTTGAAAGCAAAAAAAGGAAAAATCTCAGGTATGGAAAATGAAGAGGAAACTAAAAGCCAAAGCAGGGAAGGGGAGCTAAAGCTGAATGATCCACGAGGGGATTAGGAAAAATGTGTACTGTATTCCAAGATGGGGTTTGATAAGCCTGAGTAGGGCTGGAGATGAAGCCTGAGGCCTCTGTGTGGTAGGAAGCTGGAATGGGGCTCCCTGCAAAAATCCAGTGTTATAGGCAGATTTCTAGGATGTCCCCAAATGACCCTCAACCTTGATTATGCCCTCCTCTTTGATTATGGGTGGAACTTATAAATATGCTGAGATATTACTCCTGTCATAAGATTATGTTATATGGCACAGTTGACTGTGAGAAAGCAAGATTACCCCTTGGGCATAACCTAATGACACCAGCCCTTTAAAAACAGAGTTTTCTTCAGTTGGAGGCAGAAAAGGAAGGCAGAGAGATTCGAAGCATGAAAGGGATTTGAAAAGGAGGTTCTCCATTGCTGAGATGGAGGGGACCATGGTACAAGGACTCAAGAGTGGCCCATAGGAGCTGAGAGAGGTCAACAGTTAGCAGGAAAATGGGGAGTTCAGTCCTACAACCACAAAGAACTGAATCCTGATAATAACAGGGATGAGCTTAGAAAAGGACTCCATGATCCAGATGAGAATGTAGCTGGCTGACAACTTGATTTTAGCCTGAGCAGAGACACCAGCCTTACCATGCTAGACTTCTGACTGACAGAATTGTGAGCTTAAACTGGGTGTTTAAACAACCATAATTTGCTATGCAGCAAAAGAAAACCAATATAGCCAGGAATCCCTAAAATTGAGATAAGAACAATTGCGCTGGTCCAAGGAGAAGCCTCAAGGCTGTCCCTCCAGAGGCCATGGCTAGAAAAAGAGCATCTGAAAGAAACTGGGACACTGCACGTGAGGCAGGCACATGTTTGAGGGCTGAATCTGCACCACCTACATGATTTGGAAGTTCTTTTTTTGTTTTAAATTGTTCTACATCCCTCTCCCTCCCTCCCTCCCTCCCTCCCTTCTTTCCTTCTTTCCTTTTTTCCTTCTTCCCCACCCTCCCTCCCTTCCTTCCTGCTGTGCTGCAAAGCTTGTGGGATCTTAGTTCCCCGACCAGGGACTGAACCCAGGCCCATGGCAGTGAAAGCACAGAGTCCTAACCACTGGACAGCCAGGGAATTCCCTTGGTTTGGAAATTCTGAACCAATAAAGTAGAAACTAAGGGCTTAATCTCCAAAATATACAAATAACTCATACAACTCAACAACAAAAAAACCAAACAACCCTATAGAAAAATGGGCAGAAGACCTTAATAGACATTTCTCCAAAGAAGACATACAGACGGCCAGTAGGCACATGAAAAGATGCTCAACATCACAAATTATTAGAGAAATGCAAGCCAAAACTACAAAGAGGTATCACCTCACACCAGTCAGAATGGCCATTGTTAAAAAGTCTACAAATAACAAATGCTGGAAAGGGTGTGGAGAAAAGGGAGCCCTCTTACACGGTTGGTGGTAATGCAAGTCGGTGCAGCCACTATGGAAAACAGTGTGGAGGTTCCTCACTGTTACTCAGTGTAGAAACTTCTAGCACTTAATTCTTTTCCACCTTTTCATATTAATTTATTATGCTGAGTCTTGCCAAGCTCAAAAAAACACTGGTGGAGGAGAGGATGTTGGGGAAGCTGTAGAAGGCAAGAAGCATCTAGGATCCCCCAGGGTTATTTCTTTCTTCGGAAAAAAACATCAGAGGGCCTGGCAGATGGTGGAAACTGTGGACCACTTAGGAAAAAAGAAAAGCCCACTTACCTTGTTTCCTCTAAGTCTTAAACATAGTTCATTTTCATTTTATGTGGATGATACTAAGAAGTCAGACCATTTCTTCGATAGAATAAGTACAAAATCTTAAGATGTCTTTTGAAAAGAAGCTATTAGCATTTATTAATGAATTCTGTTGAGACATTTCGTAAAGAGAAATATGCATTCCTAGCAAGCTCTGTCTCCAAACTGTTTTTACTTAGGTAAAACTGAAAATAGAATTACCATAAGATCTAGCAATCCCACTCCAGGGCATATACCCAGACAAAACTATAATTCAAAAAGACACATGCATTGCTATGTTCACAGCAGCACTATTCACAGTAGCCAAAACATGGAAACAACCTAAATGTCCACTGACAGATGAGTGGATAAAGAAGATGTGGTACATATATACAATGGAATATTACTCAGCCATAAAAAAGAATGAAATAATGCTGTTTGCAGCAACATGGATGCAACTAGAGATTATCATACTAAGTGAAATAAGTCAGAAAGAGAAAGACAAATACCATATGATATCACTTATATGTGGAATCTAAAATATAGCACAAATGAACCTATCTATGAATTATAAATAGACTCACAGACATAGAGAAGAGACCTGTGGTTGCCAAGGGGACTGGGGGTGGGGGAGGGAAGGACTGGGAGTTTGGAGTTAGCAGATGTAAACTATTATATAGAGGATGGATAAACAACAGGTCCTACTGTATAGCACAGGGAACTATATTCAATATCCTGTGATAAACCATAATGGAAAAGAATATAAGAAAAAGAATGTGTATAAAGTAGAAACTAGCCTGAAAGTGGAAAAATTATAGGACTCCAGCACAGGGGTAGCAAACTTATTCCGTAAAGGACCAGATGGTAAATATTTTAGGCTTTGAGGACTAAATGGTCTCTACTGCAGCAAAAAAACAGCCAGAGGTGACATGTGAAATGGAGCTTGGCTGTGTGCCAAGAAAACTGTTTACAAACATGGGTGGGGAGCTGCATTAGCGTGTGGACCGTAAGTTTGCTGACCCCTGCTCTAGCAGAGGGAAATGTGATTGTCTTCCTCCCTCAGGGATGTGGGACACCTCCCCCCTCCACCCTGAAGTGCCTACTGGAGAAAACCTCACGGGGACACATGACAGTACGTAAAGTTTGTTGGGGACGATTGTGAACCATACATACAATGGTCTACTTAACATTTCCATTTGGACATCTCATATGTACTGTTTAGCACAAATACACATGAGCAAAAAGCTCAGATGTTTTCTTTGGCTTCTTTAGACTTCCTCTGTATTTGATTATTTTCCCTTTCTCATCTCTAATATTGTTTTTGTGCCTTCTCCCCATTTCTCTTGATTAGACAGGACAGTGTGTTATCTATTTGGATATTCTTCCAAAGAGTGGGCCCTCAAATTAGTTTTTCTCAGACTGTGATGTGAATGCCAGGTGCTTCCAAAGAGGCCTCCATGAACGCAGGGCTCCAGAATTCATGGAGGAGCAAGGAAGGGGCCGGCCTGCGCAGACTGTGGTCGCTTCTGGAGGCGGCAGTGAGTGGGAAGGCGGGCAGGCTCTGCAGGTCAGGGGCTGCCTGCGTCAGGCTCCAGCGCTGCCGCCTTCTGGCTGTGCGCCTCCATTGTTGGCCTCGGCTTTTTCACTCAAAGAGGAACCTTTAGGCTAGCGCCTCCATTATAGGGTTGTTGTAAGGAGTAAATGGGTTAATGCACACACAACTGATGACGTGCCTGACACCTAGTCAGTGCTCGGTAACTGTTAACCATTTTAGTTTCAGGGACAGTTTCGATCACTGTGGCTATGGGCCTCCCTCATCCATACTAGGCTGACCAGCAGGCACACTGGAAGCAGAGATGGACATGGAGAGGACAGGAACACTTGGAAAACAGAGTGGTCAAAAGGCACAGAAGCCTGGGATCATGTGCGGATAAACGGCTCTGTACACCTCAAGAGCTCCAGCCCTGAAATTCACAATGAGCACGGTGGGTCTCCAGAAACGATTCAAGTACATCCCATGTGATCTGTTGTAGAAAGGAGAGAAGTAAACACTTGGCAAATGTGTCTGTCAAATCCAGGCAACCTAAAGAAAACTTAGGTGTGAAAACAAGTAAGTTTCATTTATCTGCAAGATTTACTTTGCTTAGGGTCTAGGCAGTTGCCAGATAGAAGCGAGAATTAGGCTGGGAGGTGCTGCCTTTCAGAGAGGTCTCGGTGCTGACTGGCCCCAGACTTTGTGACTAGACAGGAGTCTATTGAACTGGAGTCCCTGCTCCACTCTTTCAATGGGGGTCTATCCACTGCCAGACCAGCTGATGGATTTCTAGAGTATTACTCAAATTTTTTCTTGGTAGGAGAAAGTTTTACTACTGTACATGAAAAGTGTTACATCTCTTTAGTCCTTGCTGGCTCATGGGAGAAAATATTACAGATTAAATGTTCAGACCATGTATTAACTTTGGTTGCTTTGATAATCTGATGACAGCAAATGTGGGGATGATGTGGCACTTATTTTGTTGATTCTAAAAGCATTACAGAGATGTATGTTCCATGTCTAAAAATTAACAAGTCTATTCAGGAATGGAGTACTGTTGATATTTTAGTTTTCTGTCTAATT